GTGTTTCAGAATGTAGACTGATCCAATGACATTAACCATGGTGTAAAAAGTGGCCACCTGCAAAATATAGTGTGCATTTTGGAGGTATCCAATACATGCTGGTTTGCTGGCATAAAGACGGTGTTGCCTGACACTGAATTAGAGTGTAACTCTGCGTGCCAGATGATGCAGGTGTATCTGTTACCTGGATTGTCCTCGTCACACCGCGCTTCTTCCTTCATTTCTTTCAGCTGTGATGGAGAGATGTTTATATTTAATTCATTCAAAACCAAAAGCGTGAAAATAGTTGATGTAGCTTTGACCTAGACGCATGAACATGTGTGTCCAGCGTATCGAGACTACTTGCTTTTAGAGGAACATTGAGCCTCCAGCCCTTTCCCACTGTCATCACAGTGTGTTCAGTTAGGTTTGTGCTGATTAGAGAGGCTTAAGCACCTGGCAGACAGCACCCTCAGAGCTGGAGAGAATGTCTGTGCATGGCTGTCTGCCTGGCGGTGCAAAACAAGAGAAAGGGGCAAGTTGGGGCAGGGACATAAGTGTGTGTGTGGGGGGGGGGGTATTCGCAACTGTTTGATTCCCATGAAGTGGCTCTAGGAAGAATCACATCAGGTGGTTTGTCTGTGTCAGTGTGTGTGGTGCAAAGCAGGGATCCCAAACTGTTGCTTTTTTACAATACATTTTAACAATTTACATTCTTCTTCGTAGCATACAGCCCTGCATGTTTATTAAATGAGGCTGCTTGAGATTATATAGATTAGATTAATTTATAATCATTCCCTTTAAACTGTAGTATCTGTGCCCAGGGTCAGTCTTTTGCTTAAGGTTTGGAAAGAGCCGTTTTAGAGCCGTAGCTACCACTTAGGACAGTATGGTCACGTTCTCAGGGATTTTACCAACCTGGAGAGAGGTTTACATTCTACAATTAAAAGATAACACACGTGGGTATTCTATAGGATGCCACCAGTATTTCTAGAATTTCTGGATAAAGTTAAAATTGGCCTCTTTTAGGTCAACAAAAAAATAAATAAGTAAAGGATTCAGTATTTCCCAGCCAAAATTTTAGTTCAGCCAGTGTTAAGAGGGCTTAAAAAAAAAAAATTAGACCTTCATATGTTTTAAACAAAAAGTACAGAAAATCACACAGTTCACTAAATAAATGAAATCAAACATTTTAGAAACTTGGATTAATGACTTCAGTAGTTCTACAGTCCTTGCTACAGCCCTGGCATCAGGTGTAAACCAGAATGCTATCTGAAAAATAAAGCCACATTCTGTGCCATGGTTGCATATCATAAACACTCTTCATTGCCACCTGTGTCATTGGTTGTAATTTGTTTACAGTAGCTGATGACGTAACACATTTCCTGAAGCCTTCTGTCAGTGTTTACTGCCAGAGAATCCACATTTTACCAAAACAAACTTGCCAACAGCTGCTCATTTAAAAGGTTCTACATTAAATCCAACTTTATTTACATGTCATAAAATGTAATCATAATCCCCTCCTTGAGTTTTTTTTAAACAGATGTTTTTTCTTCACTACAGGCTACTTGAATAAACTAGTCGTGCAGTATCACATCCATTAGATTTAGCATGTTTATCCAAATCCGAGATGTAAACATCATTTTAATACATCACTAGCAGTCCGTTAATACCGCCAGCTTCCACGCAATCCCCAGTGACAGACGGTGTCTTTAATATGTCAGTGAATAATATGGACACAATTACAATCACAGAACCAGTGATAATATGAGCCCCTCATTAACGTGCAGTCGTGCCCCACCCATCACACCAGGCCTCTACAGTTGAGTGTGTGCTGTTATGGTAACCAGATAAGTGTCGTCCTAGCCTGAGTTTACTCCTCGCATGCAAGTTAACTTTTCGTTCACATCAGTTTTAATAGTTTAAATATCTGTTTCTATACGTTACTGTATACTAGTAACACGTGATAAATTTCTTTCCTTTTCTCTATAAACCACTTTTGTCTTGAGTCACTTGGGCAGGATCGCAACCATGGGAATGTTTTCCATTTGTTCAGACGGCATACATTCCATGTCATGTCTGCTCAGCACACCAGGAAGTGAACAAACCCCTGAGCCGTAAATGAGTCTGAGGTGAACAGTAAAGAAAAAAAAAAGCAAGATAAAGAAGTAGTCTCAACAACAGAAATTTGACTCAAAAAACAAGTTTTAAAAAGTGTTTGTTGCTTCTCAGAAAATTCATCTCTAAATAGTAGCTCTTGATCAACTGAGCAATTGTGTATCTTCTGTCATCTTCTGTATTTTTACTGCATAGTAACAAATCGAATGTAATGCTCCTAGAAACAATAGGGAACATTTTTCACATGTGTGGCCATGTGCTGTGAAGCTCCAGGCCTCATTTTAAACATGTTTTCAATCTTGTTTTAGGACTTGAATATTTTAATTCACTTACTCCCCCTTGTGGCAAAACAATAAAGCTGTATGTCTCTTAATAAAGTCTGAGGAAGTAAATAAATGTGCTTTGTTACACAGATGTCCATAGTAAAAATGGTGCACAATCTAACAAAGCAGTGTAGTGTTATTTATTAACAGTGCTAAAGCTGTGGCTCAAGTACGAGGGAGCCACCCGTGACGTGCCTGTACCTCAGATCCCAGACAACAGCTTTCTCATCCCTTCAATGTTTACATGTATGATCTCAGTTTGATCTGTGCCCCAACCGACCAATCCGGGGCGAGTGTGCCTGCAGATGGGGAGCAACAGTGAGATGCTGGATGTCTTGTTGAGCATTGAGTGGGGGAGACACAGTAGACAGGGATGGCAGGAATTAGGCTGTTGGGGATTAGTGTCTGAGCTCTGATTGTCTATTGGCTGTAGAGACCTTTTCTGCTCCGCATGGACCTGAACTGACGACAACAACAAATTCATCAGAAACAAGCAAGATTATCATCCTGTCTTGATCCCGGGATGTTTTTTAAACTGACGGACTGCACATTTTTAGATCACATTTTCCTCCTTTTTCTTTAACACAACTTGAGCGTAGTTTTGGATTACTTTATGAGAGAGCATGGTAGTGCTTCTGACTAACAACTCCAGCACAAATTTCTACTGCTTTCCAACAGTCTTCAAGAGGAAAGGTGAGTGAAAGCAGCACCTGCCATTTGTTTGAAATTATGTATGAGACAACAGACCTGATTGGTTTATGACTCAAATCAATTGCTCCTTGTTGAAATTTCTATTCAACTATGACCAGCACAAGACAGGCAATAAAGTAATTAAAGTGTCACTCACTATCTCTGTAGACCATAAAAACTACTGCCAGTATGTACTCTCAGTGATATAAAATGTGCTGTGATTTATAGTCTGACTTTAGCAACTAACACTTGCTCTAAATTGCAGGAAAATAAAATAAGGAATTAGAATATTATATATTTATAGATAATTGCGTATTTGGAATTTCTGCCAGCAAAGAGGACCTGTAATGCTGTTACAGAAGAGAGGGTGGTAATAATTAGTAGCGATCACAGAGCAGATGACTGTAAAGGCTAATTCCGGCATGGTCTTACTGTGACAGTGCGGGCTGTGGTGTACAGTAGGTGGCTAAATGTGGAGCAGCTGTCATTATTACATAAAAGTGTTAGCTCAATGTTCCCAGACTGTGGCCTGGAAGCATGAGGGCACAACGTGGATCACAGAGTTGAATGACTTGACCAATTGGTCCACAGACATAAAGCTACAGTAACATTAGTTTTTTTCTTTTATTTTGGTTTTATTAAGTCATCAGATTTTTTTTTGCATTTTAAAAAGACTTGACACAAAAAATAAAGTATGAAACTTGATCCAAAACCAAGATAAGAGTTTTGTACATTCAGAGTAAAATCATAACATTAAAACCAGGAACTCAAGTAACTGGATTTTGGACAGCAAGTCATTAGAAGAGGTTATTCAGGTTTGTGGAGTTCACAAACAGCATGACTTAATGCAGTTAGTATCTCAAGGCAAGAGTTGTCATTTTTTTGGATGGTGCCCATGGTTCATGACATGGTATTTCAGGTATTTTTATTTGTTAATTAATTAGTTAAAAAAAGATTGATGTACTAAGCATGCAACAAGATGTGACATTGATTTAATTAGTGTCCTTGTCACTGTCTGATTAAATGATACTTGGGCTAGAAGAAAATAGCACGCATACGTTCCTGACGGTAGATTTTTGATGTGATAATCCTGTTTTAAAAGTCATTGTCAGTCACTTGAGTTTAATCCTGCAAGAGTGAACTGGAGTTCAGCCTTTTTAATTTGCACCCACACTCTTGTGTATTAACCCTCAAACATATTTACTGTTCCTGTGCTTAAATGTCACTGGCAGGCACCTGAATGCACTCATCCTGTCCACATGGCTCCCTTATGTACTGTTACTAGTGTTGTAGTAAAGACTGCCCAAACCGAGACCAAGTCAAGACCAAGATTTTAGGGGCTGAGACCAAGTCGAGACCAAGACCAGTTCACCACATTACATGACACACAATAAAATGTGGAACGAGATCATAGGTACTTCTCAAATTGATTTGAAAGAGCCACATTCCCATTAAAACACCCACATACAAACACTAAGAGCTAAAATCAACGTAAACATCTTTATTCAACACTCTTTTTCCATGCTTACCATCGTGGGGAGGGGTGACAGTGGTTAATGGGAACAACACATACTTAATTAGGGTTATTGGTTGCATTTGAAGCAATACGTTTTACATCCAAAGTTAGGATGTTAACAAATACATCAGACAATGCAAAAGAAATTTATTGATATTCCCAAAGTTATGGTCTTGACTGGTCTTGAAATAAAATCCAGAGTCCTCTATGTCTGAGACCGAGACAAGACTTAGTACAAATGCGGTCAAGTCCGAGATGAGACCAAGAACATCAAAAAGTGGTCTTAAGACTGGTCTCGAGTACTACAACACTAACTGTTACAGTAACACAAAGCTTTGAGTTTATCCATGCTGATCCCCTCTCTTTACTTCAAGCTGTCTCAAAGCGAGACGATGATGATGACAAGACCCCGGCACCCCCGTTGCTCCAGGAGAACGTGTTCATCGAGGCCAGCAGGCCCAAGTACCTGGAGAACCTTCATACCGAGGCCCTGGAAGGACTGAAAATGATGCAGCAGGAAGGTACACACTTGCAGTCTTACATCTGTGCACTAAATTAGAGGTGTCCCGTGCCAACATGTTGATAACTGCCTGCATATTACTCAAGAGGGTGTGCACCGGAGGATGTAAACACTAAGAGTTAAATGTTACTCTCTTTGCAGAAACCAATAATGGAGTGGAGTACCAGGATAATGAAAGCACGGTTGTAAGTGACACATCACACCCAGAATAGCTCTTTTTTTACACTTGCAAATACACTATTCTTGAATAAGTGATTTGTTTTCTAAAAGGATTATGTTTCTCCTTGTGACAGTCGACAGTGATGGTCCAGACAGACGGGGAAGGTGGCTTTATGACAGACAGTACCCTTGCTGACACATCTTCAATCGTCTCTGTACGATCATCAGTGTCCACAAGATCTTCCCGCTCTGGTCTCACCAGGCAAGGTAACTTAACTGCAAGTGTAAATACTTTTTACATCCCATTTTGGTCATTATACTACATATAGCACACACATACAATGGCAAACTCAACATTTAATGGGTGAGATGTACAGATTGAATTGAAAGAATCCCGTTTTTCTCTTTTCTATCATTCCTCTGTATGCCCAGCATCAACATTCAGGCCCTTGAACTCTGGGAAAAAGTCAGAAAAGACCAAGACAAGGAGAAGACACAGGAAGACTGTTGTGGGTATCCCACAGCATGTTCAGAAAGAACTGGGTAAGCAGCTCATCATTTTAACATATTACTTACAAAATACATCTGTCAAATTACTCTTTACTCTAAATTGTAAGATATATTCAAAAATATCATGGTATTAAATATAGTTATGTTACTGTCTTCTATATAGAAAATAAATGGATGAATGGTTAGTTTGCGTGTCCATTTGCTTAATTATTAATATGAACTTGCGCTAATTAGTCTTGCTATCTTCTCTCAGGCCTGGACAGAGTGGGCTGGACACTGACTCAGAGGTTAGATGAGGAACAGCATTATAATGGGGAAACTGACAGCAGCCCAACGACAGATGTGCCACAGCAGGCAAAAAAGTCACAAAGGGGAGCCAGTTCCAGCCTTCAGAACATGAATGTCATCCAGCCCGTCAACAAACACCAACTGGAGCAGCTCGGTGCCACCCATGCTGGCCATAGGGATGACCTGGCCCTGCTGCACCGCCTGGGCCCTAACTTCTCAGGTGAGCAGAGGCCTCGGTCCCTGGCTGTTCCCTGGATGACCACTGCCAACAGTCTCGAGCAGGAGCTGCCCAGCCCTGTCATGTCCATGTCTCCACAGGCCCCTTACATGTCGAAAATCATTCCCAATGCTGTGTTGCCACCCTCCATAGATGTGGTTGAAATCAGCCGCGGGCGGAGTCGCAACAGCGTCCGCACCGTCAGCAAGAGCAGTCTCCTGCTGTCCAGCCCGGCCCCCTCCCGTGCTTCCTCTAGAGCCTACTCCCCCAGGACTACTTCCTCCAGAGCCTCCTCTAGAGCCTCCTCCAGAGCCTCCAACATCACCTCTGCCTCCCAATACAACCCTTACAATATGTCCGACAGCTCTTGTTGGAGCAACTCTGAGTCCTCAGAGACCTTGGTATCTGACTCCTCAACCATCTCCAGCAGCAGCACCCCCAGACAGAAGAGGTCACAAGACGGTGATGCCTCTGCTAAAGAGGACAAAATCAGTGTTCCCTCCTCCGTCAGCAAGCCTTCAAAATGCGCCTCCAATGGCCAGCTCATTATTAAGGGAGACGAGGTTAAGAAAGAAGGGCAGTTTGTGCGTAGCCTCTCCGTCATGAAGCCCAAGAGGGCTCCTCCTCCTCCAAGCCGCTCATATTCCCTTCACAATAAGATGAAGCGTCGGTCACGTGATCTGGCAGAGGTTACGGCCATTTCAGGGGAATCTTCTCTCACCACTATCCCAGCATCTGGTGAGGAAAAAGGAAAAAACACAACAGGATTCTCTCCTATTCCCTCTAAAATCATAGACAGTCCTGGATACAATGCTGACACCAGTTCTCTGGATGACTCTACAGGTTCTGTATCATTCAGTTCCTACAGATCCCAGCTGCAGGCACTAAAGGCAGAGGAAGCAAAGGTTGAGGAAACAGTTTCCAAAGATGCTTCACAAGAGAAGCAGGAATCACTTCAGGAGAATAAGCTAAGCAAAATAGTGTCCCCGTCCAGTGGCTACTCCAGCCAAGATGGCACATCTGCTCAACTTTTTAAACAGCCCCACAGCTCATCTCCAAGGCACAAGAGAGGCATCTTAGCAAAGCTTCAAAGGTTTTTTCCTGGGTCTACTAATGCTGCTTCACCTCCCCCTCCACTCACACAATCAGAGGCTCGTGAAAACACAGAAACCAAAGAGGATCTCAAACTCGACTCCTCAGTCGATACTGCTAGTGTCAGCCCCTCCGTAAGGACCTTGAGAGAACTCTTCAACATCCCTCCGCCACCTAAGGTCCATGCACCTCCACCCCCTCCTCCAGAGGTATGGGCTCACAGTAAGCGTAGCTTTGAGTTGCTGCTGGGACCACCGGCACCTGATAACATTTATGCCATCATAAAGAAGAATCCAAAGGACAGGAGACAACCGAGGCACTCTCCTTCTGCATCTACGGACAGCTCTGTGAATAGCTTGGTGGTAGAAAGAACACACAAGAATCCGACTGTAACAGTGGAGTCCTTTAATGGTGCCCTACATGTGCTTGAGACAAAGAAACTTCAGGACAGTGGGGTTTTGAATGCAGAGAACAATGACAGACTGACTGAGCAGAATGTTGATTTGAAAGGAAAGAGCAAAGAGACAGAAAAAGTTGAGAAAGTAAGAGTAAGTGACATATTAAACGGGATGTTGGTGAAGGCTGTAGAGAAACATGAAGTAAGGCTGGCAGCAGTGAGAGAGGAAGAAGCCAAAAAGACATCCACACGAGCTACAGAGGTAAAGACTAACATGGACACATTATCCGCCATTTCATTAGTACGCGTCTCTCCATCTCCTCCTCTGGTACACCGTCCTCCACAACCCCCCACCACACAGACTGCTTCTATCCCATCCGCAAACGTTGTTGTATCCCCTGAGTCATCCTGGCCCCCACCCCCTCCACCAACAGGCCACGGTGGGCCTGATGAGATTGATTTCCCTCTTCCGCCTCCCCCAATGTTTGGTGAGGAGGGGATAGTTATACCTGTTCAGGTGCCACCAGAGAGGTCAGAATGTGTCAGGGTGACCACAGAGGCTGAACCACAGAACCCCAGTACATCCCAGAGGATTGTACCTCCAACCTTGAGTATTCCACCTCCTCCACCATATATGGCTCCCCCTCCACCGGTTGAAGCAGTCTGTCTTCCTATGACTAAGAAGGTCTGTCCTCTACCGTCAATTAAAGAGGTTTCTCCTCCACAACCTAAAAAAGTCTCTCTTCCACCACCTATAGAGGTTTCTCCTCCACCGCCTCCTAAAGAGGTTTCTCTTCCACCACCTATAGAGGTTTCTCCTCCACCGCCTCCTAAAGAGGTTTCTCTTCCACCACCTATAGAGGTTTCTCCTGGGAGCCCCAAAGAGTCATCTCGTACTGTGGTTCAAGAACCGCCCCCAACCCTTGTTAAAGACGTGTCCCCCACACTGGTTATCGAGGTCTCCACTCATTTTGAGAAGATTTCTCCTCCATCTTCTCAAAATAATGCCTGTCAGTCTTTGGACAAGGCAACACCTGTTGGCAAGCTCACCCCACCACATAGTATTCCACCTCCACCACCCCTACCGTCACAACCCCAGTCGTCAAAACAGGAGATTGATCTTCCACAAAAGAACATCCCATCTGAATCTGAGACCAACCCAGTTTCATCTGACAGTATTCTTACTTCCCCTCAGAGTATTCCACCTCCGCCTCCCATACAGCTTCTCCACCAACCTCAGGTTGTAGCCCCAAACACTGATGGTCCAGCAACCCAGGAGGCCTCCCCTTCACCACCATCTGAAATCTCTATCCCACCAGCTGTTGAAAACTCTCCTTCACCACAAAAGGGGACTCCTTCTCCCCTTGGAAATATTCCCTTACCTCCACCTTTACCTGTGCTGGGTCTTGCCAGCATTAGACACCAACCTAGTCCTGCAAGCACAGAAAACCAAACCCCAGAGCTGACGTCTGCCCCTGTTGCGCAGAAGGAACCTACTCCCATTATTACCCCCTCCCTTCTGCAGATGGTGAAGCTGCGGTCCGTCAATAGCAGCCCTGAGCCTTCTAAAGATCAGGAGCAACCAGAGGTCACAATGAGGAATAAGCAGCCCAGCAATAAGGTTCCAACCTCATCTGCCAGTGGTGAGGCTCCTCAGAAACCCATCAGAAGGTCTCTGATCATGACCTCTGAACCTGCCATAGTTACTTCACAACAAGCTCTGCCCAAGTCCCAGTCTCTTGTGGTTCCACCTGCATCTTCATCCACAGTCATCTCCCCAACTAAAAAGTCTCCTCCTGCCATGACCACCTCTCCTTCCATGAACCTACAGGAGGCCATCCGCCTGAGGACAGCAGCCAGATCAAAAGCCAGCCCTGCATCTCGTCTCAGCATCCAGTCACCAACATCACCAAAAGACCTCTGCAAGTCCCCCACCAGCACAGCAAGTTTTATCTTCTCCAAGAGCAACAAGAAGGTGGTAACTGAGACCAAGCCAGCACCGGAGACCAAGGCAACCATACAGAACAACCTGGAGGCTTCCTCAAACAACGTAACAAACGTGGTGAGTGAAGCAGAGCTGATGAAGAAGGGAGTCAAGGTGCCACCACCTGTTGCAAAGAAACCCCAAACTGCAGGTCAGGAATCACTGCAAGATAGTATCAAGGGTAAGAGAGATTATTCACTATAAATAAAACACATCAGCATTAGACTGGAAATTATGTGATGATTCAGTTAACATGTAGTAACTGTGTACTTACTTGTGTAGTGCATGAATTTTGACCTCTGCTTCTTCTTTTTAATGGAGAACTGTAACTGAGCGGATCGTTATCATCAACATTTGGCTGCGATTGTCACACACCAAAGTATCTGCTGGCTTGTTTTATTAAAATTAATAAAAATTAACATACTTTTACTTGCTTGTGTATGCGAGCGCAGCCGATGCGCCTCAGCTGCCATTTTCACAAGTTTGAAAACAGGTTGGTCCCTCCCCTTCTGCTACAATGCCAAGATGGTGACTGTTAAGGGGGAGAAGTGTCCAGTGTTCCACATTCAACTTTTTGACTGTTATGAGTACTCCATCCGGGTACTCACAGTGCACTGCATTTTGCCGTACTTGCCAGTGTGAACACACTTATGCACTCAACATAGCAAGTGTAAGTATGGAAGGGAGCAAACTGAGACACAGCTTAAGACTATATAGAGACAGCTAGTGGCTCTGTGAGGCTGTACTTGGGCACAGCAATCCTTTGAGCCACCTACTAACATCAGCATGTTAACATACTCACAATGGCAGTGCTCACATGCTGATGTTAAGGCTGTATTCACATCATATCATTTTAACTATAATACAAAACACACTTGCTAATTAGCACTAAACACGCATTACATCATAAACCAAAATATTGGACAGTCAGGGGATAACTGACATGAACGTTTCATGGCAATCCATCCAGTAGTTGTTGAGATATTTCAGTCTGGACCAAAGTGGTGGACCAACTGACATTGCCATGGCTGAAAAACATTTTTGTGCGATTGTATCGGTTCTTCTGCGCTCCATTAAACTAATTCTGTCTAATTTCTCTAATCTCAGATGCTGCAGAGAAAACAAATGGAACAGCAGGTACTGTTGAAGGAGAAGGGACACCATCTACATGACTGTAAAGACTGAAGGAGACCTGGGAAGGACTTATTAATTACACTGTATCTGCTACAAGTTGGTCTTTATGTGTGAGAGACAAGAAACTGGATTTGGAAAAGTTCTGGATTTTATAGAAAATCCTTTCAATTTGATGTTAATGGTGTGGGTCATTTTCACAAGTACTCATATTGCATTTTAAATACAGCATATTTTCTTTTGGCAGAGGGTCTTCTGAACTTTACAGTTGCAAGAAATGGGAATATACTGCCCTCTAGTGTCATACAATGATTGTACCACTTTTGTCCTGCTGAATCAAAGCTTTTGTCAATATTTCTAACAATGGGACTTTTGGGCGCTCATCTGTAAATATAGCAAAAGTTTGTACATTTAACATAATCCTGTTATGATGGATATGTGCTACAGAGTTCTGTTTTTTTCTCCAAAACTATATTTGTTAAAAAATATTAATTATCCTAAGTTATTTTTTTTCCTTTTCATGTTCAGAGGGTCTCAGACAGAACATCTTGTTTGCAATGTTGTGTTAAACCCCAAAATCATTTAAATCAAGTTTGTTTGTATAGCTCCTAGACATGTCCAAATATACAGTATGTTCTTCTCAAACATCTGTCACTTTCTATGACCTGTCAATGAGCATGACCATTAATTAGCAGATGCATAAATCAATATTAAAATTGTTATTTTGGACATTTCTGCTGCTTTTAGTTACTGATAATGGAGGCATTGCCTTTTCTCAGTTATGGCTCAAACAGCGGGGTATTTCTGTGTTGAACTATAATATTTCAAACTTGTTTCAAAGACTAATGTAATAAATGATCATTTATAATGGAAAGAATAAAGATTTATGGACAGATAAGTCACACTGAAGAGGATCCTTTTTTCTTTTAAATTTCCTGTAAGTCTGATATTCAGTGCTGTATTTTCCCTTGACATTGGAGTGCAATGTTGTAATGTTTGTAGTTTTACTCAATGGACATTTCCCTTTTTTTGACATTCGTAATTGAAGGATTAATATTGGCATGGCTTAATTACATTAGTTACAATTAAACATTTAGAAAATAAATGGTGTCTTAGATGTTATTACAAGAGTCCGGCTGCATTTTCATGTTTTTATTGAAACGAGTCAGAAAATCCTTCTGTTAGGGATGTTTACAACAGTCTTCAAACAGAGTACTAATCAATGCCTTCTAATACTATGTCCATGTGAAATACCAGGTCATCTCCTTATCCAAATCTGCCAGACTGTCCTCATTCCGCTCCACGTCAGAGGCCACCATCCAGTCAGCCAACGCATCGCTACTTGTATGCTTACTGTTTTTTTCCTCGCCTTCGGTTACCAGTGGCTCTAACTCTCTCTGTACGCCGACTTCTGATGGAAACATTTGCTCCAACTCCGCCCAATGACGCAACACTTCACCTTCCTTATGGTTCAAATGGGTCGCCTGCTGTACATCAGAGATCTCATCATCTTCAAATTCCTCCCCATCTTCACTCTCTGAAAAATGCTTGTGTAGTAGATAACCTGACCCATCCTCTTTGGACAGATTTGAATCGTTAACTTCAGACTTTTCCTTCTCCTCCTCTACCAAGACCCTCTCCCTAAAACTTAACTCATCTAAGTCAGGTTCTGCTTTCACTCCAAGGACAACCCCACGTTCTTTTTCATCAAGCTGTTGCTGCTGCTCCTCTTCTTCTGTGTAGACTTGCTCTTCATCATCATACTGAACTTCATCAGCACTTTCCCACAGGTTGTCAAGACTGTGCAGCTCATCAGTGAACTGACTGACTGTGGCCTTGCCTTCTCTGCTTATGCTGACTGAGGGGGGATTGACTGGTAGAGAGCCATCTTCTGCTTCGTATGACTGATCAACGACCAGCAATGACCCACTGCGTGCAGAGCCTTGAAGAAAAAGAGATCTAGCCATTTACAATGATCGCAAGACACTTTACGATCACTGACACTTAAAAGCATTCACAACAGAAATATTACCTTGAAATCTAATCAGGACTAAACCACAATAGCTACATACCTTCCATCATGGCCCTCCGGGGTTTAGAGGTCACACATTTGTAATCGCAGCAGTCGCAAATGGAGTCGTCACTGTTAAGGGCCTTCCACCTATCATAGCAAATACACAAATATGCTTAATCTACTTGGAAATAACAGCACCTAATGCTGGAACGGAAATAAATTTACAGTGTCAAGGCTCACCTGTCCCCTGTGTAGGTGCATGATTTGTGTGCAGGACCCGGGTCCTCAGATGTGACAAACAATTTGCAGTGAATATTGACCTAAAAATTGAAACGGGGTTAAGCCACAGTTAAAACTATGTGAATCCAGAGAATTATGTTCCATGCTCACCTCTGTGTCAGGGTCAGAAGTGAACTGGAAAGCTCTAGGGAGAATCTCAGGGTCTTGTTTGTCCGAGAGATGAACTGAGAGGCCCCCGGGTCTCTTCTGCTGTCTAGCATACAGCTATGGGTGACAACAATATGACACTAATCTCAGTTAATTGCAATGCAGGACAGCAAAGGTGAACCCATTAGATTTTCAATACATTACCGTCCATAATACTCACCCATAATTGTCAATGATGGTGTATTTGTGGGATGATATTGAGCCACTGGATGGTGTGGCATAGCAGCTATTGATGTATAGTTTTCCACCAGTTGGGAGATGAGGAGCACGGATCTGGAAATTAACAGTCTGTCCAAGTTGGTACACCTGGGACCTCGCTGGTCTGCTCCATGAATCTAAGAGTTAATTAAATAGCACACCAAAAGGAGCCACTTACACGTTTATTAAAATGTTAAACATACAAACACATATTTGCACTGAAAAAGAAAACAGCTCTTAATCGCAACAATCCATATTTCTTTAAACATACCGTCCATCAACTCTATCTGGAAGAAATTTGGACTTCCTTTCAGACTTTTACGCGCAACAGCAGTGTGCCAGGTGGGCTGCACCGCCAGTTGGTACACATGATGGTTCCTGGACAGGGTTTTGGAGGTTGTCAGTAATAGGCTTTCTCACATAGGCCACACACACACACACGACTTTGAAACTAAACTAGAGACAAACCTTTGATAACGACACTGAATGTCGACATCCAACCGGTGCGCTCTGCTTGGGAAATGTTTTGGTGAAGGTTCATAATGGAGCACGAATTTATAGACCAGATAACCGTGGGGCGACTGTGAAGAGGTGTCAGAAATTGAGAGTTCAACATTATGCAGGTAGAGACGGGAAACAAACAAGATTCGTGCAAATCTTACCTGACGCACGGAATCACACGCTGTCAGAGGATAAGTGAAAAGCAGGTCGCCGAACGGTCTGAGAACCCCATTGCTTTTGCAGGTGCTGCCTAATTTCAGCTCCGTTGCATCTGCGCCCAGGCCGTAGAAAGCTGGTTTGACCCGCACGACAAAGTCAGAAGTGGAGCATGTTACAGAAACGTCTGGGAGGAAAACAAAGTCCGACTGGTTCTTTGCCTCGGGCTCCCCTGGACGCAGGAATCGAGGTGTTCCAGGTATCGCAGGAGGATAGGGTCTTCGGGAAATGAGCTGAGACAATGGAGAAGTGCTGACAGGTAGCCTCTGGGAAGATTGCCTCTCGTCTGTTATTGACAGTTTAATTGGTTTTGATTTTGTCATACCCTGTTTGAAAACCTTATTCCTTTTTGTAAACGGAGATTCATAAGTGTCTACTGCACAGCTGAGGAGGCCAAGTGATAAAACACTCCACAAAATACGGAGACACCACTTTGTTTTCATCGCAACAGACTACTGTCCTTCTACCTCTCTCTAACAATCTGCGCTTAACACCACCGCTCAGTCACGGCTGGAAGTAATTAGTGCATTTATATGGTCAGCCCACGCTGCCAAAATGTGTCACTTTCAAACTTGTCAAGAAAACACAGTAAAAAGCGGCGTACAAACGGTCAGGATGCCGCTTTTTACAGGGCTCTACTGTAGATTAAGTTCTTTGGTAAAAGCAAAGACGTTTTACTGTAGCCTACCCCACTACTAGGGCACCGGAAAAGTGATGTTATTGTCAGCTTTGGCTTTATTTTGACTGATTTCAGTGTTTAAAATGAACCAGTGGAGCCTTCCCACATTTATTATTTAATAACACAACTTAACATAATCACTCTTGCAAGTCAGTTATTAGAAACAAGCTGACTTAGAGAAATACATGAGATTATTTAGCCTAAATATTTTCAGAACATTAAAATAAATTCAAATAAAATTAATATATAATAGTGATATGGCTCACTGTGGTCAGGCAGTAACCACTTTTCTTCCCAGCATTTGTCACTAGTGGGGCAACCTTTTACAGGTGCAGTTGAAACACAGGCCTGTATGTTTTTAATTTTATTTTCTTTAATTGAATTGATTTATAAAACAGTTAAAATTGTATCTGAAAGCAGATGTAATTTTTCCCTGTTTGTGAGCAGCTTATGTTAATGCTATTTTATGTTATAAAAGACTAAAGAATAACATGAATATACATAGGCAATGTGTGCCAAATGATATAATTTGATTATCTCTAAACAGTATGTTGCAAGGTCCTATTTATTGGGATTTACATGAGCCTTGTATTTACATGAATACTGTAGATTAGTATTTAAAATTATGTAATGTTTTGATTACTATTAACAAATATTCAGCTTTCATCAAGGTGCCAGATACTTTGGTTGGAGGGACAGCTATTTGCAGTATTTTATACCAACCTACATGAATTTAATTATACTAAATATATCTGGCAAATAACCTCATCAAGGTATCTTATCTGAAATAAGATGTTAAATATCATGCAAAAAAAAAAAAAAGTTGGAGATTTAGGACATTGCAGGTTTCTCTGTTTCAGCAAACTTTATTCAAACTTAAAATGGCAGATTTACAGCATATCAATTGTCTCTTCACTGATTTACATATTGCTCATCAAGGTCAAAAAAAAAAGTATTTACATATTATACACACAGAAGCATATGAACACCAAGGAGACCATGGAGAGTTACGATGTGCTTCACTAGGTTCATTCTGTGCAATTTCAAAATGCTAAAAATAAAAAATATGCAGGAATATTTTAAGTTTTACCGATTGACATTTAATCACCAATAAGTATATAAAATCATGTGTTAAATCAAGACATCTAAAGTAAGGACAGATGTCTCCTGCAGACCTTCAGTTTGAGAGTCACAATATTATATAGTATGCAACTCGTTACAGCAGCTTTTGACATTTTCTTTTTCTAGAAAAAGAAAAAACCTCAACCATTGATGTTTTCAAACATTTACTTCAAAATCACAGTCATCTGTCACATATCCATCAATAAATGTTTACTTAAATTATTACACGTGCTTTCATGAGACATAATCCCTTAGAAGGTTTAAATAAATAGTTAAATAAAGCATTTTATCTTTCCTTGGGAAGAAAGAACATGCTAGATGAAATTACTTCATACTGGAGTTGACTTTGCTATGAAAGCACATTCAGAAAGTCTCAGAGCTTGGCTGAAATGTTAAAGCACAAAAAGGTGTGATGGGAAACCTTTCTCTGTTGCAAAAAGGAAACTAAACATAATCTCATCGCAACTAATCATACAAGATGTGTGTGTTAGGCAGTGAGTCAGCCTTCATCCAGTACATCGACCACAATTCACCACAAGGTGCCACTTTTAAGAAGTGATCTATAGCACACAACACCTAATGAAAAGTAGAAATTGTAGCACAGCTTCATACAACTCCAATTAGTGGAATAGTGCTGGTATGCCCTTTAAAAATAAGGGCTGATACTATTTATTTCCTTCAGAGCACTGAATGGAAAGTCAAACATGCCTGACCTAAGACATGGTAAACATCAAAAAGTAACATCACAGTCCAGTCCAAACCTGCAAATACTTCATAAAAACAATGCCGCAACATCACAAGCTGCATCCCAATTCCAAGCAGAGTTGATGAATACCACTTTCCAACAATGCTATGCTTAAAAGAAACAGAAGCTTCTAACAACGATTGAAGGTAAATAACATTGTTGAAAGCTACAGTAACATCTCAAACAAAAAAGTATAACATCTTTGGAAAACATTTGATTTGACATTCTCTTTGACTTCACCAAGATTAAAGGACTACAGCGCCCATGAGTCTTAGCGACACACTTGTAGTTAGAGAAAAACATGTTTCTCTCTGTTTAAATGATGAGGTGATCAGATTTCACTGTCCAAGTAAGTAGTGGATTCCCATTTAGGTTAAGATATGGACAGATCCCAGTTCTGCGTTTCAGCTACCTGACAAAATGATACACTGCAGTTTAATAAATTGTGCATGTTTTTTTTAGTTTCAGGAGATGCAGTGTAATTGGGACACAGCTGCAGGTAAAGGACGGACACACACACACACACACACACACACACACACACACAGTCACTAGAGGGCGATGTAAACCTGTGTGATACACTGGAGGGAGCTGGTTAATGCTCATGGTGTGAAGGCAGCAGAGGTGGTCTGTGGTCTCGTCCCTTGATGGCCTGTGCAAACACGAAGAGCAGCTGTGGTGGCTGGCTCGCCCTCTGCCACTACACGTTGCTCCCAAGCGCTGTAGTTTCAGACTCAGAATCTGCTTCGGAGTCCCTGTTACAGAGGACAGCCAGGACACACAGGTCACACACAAAGGACTTGGCTTGTCCAGACAGGGCGAATAATGCATGCCAACACCAGAGCAAGAGTTTTTTTTTTAAAAAGGCTTCATTTGAATTTAGCTCAGGTACACAGAGAGGACCGATTTTTTTCGTATCCCGAAACTGCTGTTTTGTCGTGTTTTAAGTGCTTGTGTGTGCATCACACTTTTCACTTACAGCATTTCCTGCAGTAGTTTTTGGTTGCCCTGCCTCCTTTCCTCATCAATAGGGTAGGTCTTCAATATCAACAGCCCCACACCAATAAGAACCACAGGCACAGGGGAGACCAGCACCTTCAGGGTTGAACTGACCGTCTCGGGTTGTGAGCAGCTCCCGGTCACATAGCCGGCAAATCTGCGAGAAAAATGCAGATAGAGGAAGAAAATTTGAGCTGATGCGAGTACCGTTTGTTATGACTGTTAGGTGAAAGATTACGTGATTGGTGACCACATGACCACTAGGCCGGAGCTGTAACATGGAGCCAATCTCATATAGCATCAGAGATCACGGCCATGCAGACATAAACTGACAACATTTTAAGGATGGAAATGTGGATAATTTCTGATAAAATGGCTGTAGATGTGAATAATATAAAAAAGGATCTGTTAACTTACTTCAAACTGAGTGTAGAGACACCCAGCGATATGCCAGAGGCAAACTTGACGAAGAACACATAGAAGGAGTAGAAAAGGGCCTCGTGGCCGTGGACGTCTGGATTGTTAACCTTGAAGTCATCCACTACGTCAGGAAGCATTGACCTGAAAGCACAAACAATGTTTAAAATAAAAATCAAATCTACTAAAATCCACATCTGCATACAGATCAAAGGGCTTCTGTGGGTAAATTTATGCTCACCAAGGCAGGAGGAAAGCTGCCGCCACGCTCACACCAGCTGCCACTGAGACCAGGTAAGAAATGATCAGGTTGCTCTTGATAGAAACGATTAGGATCATGAAGGGTACTGCCCACTATAGAAAGAGACAGAAGAATAAGAAAGATAACTTCATTAATCCCCTGTAGGGGAAATTTCGGTCGACATAGCAGCACAAATGAATATAAGAGAAAAGACGCAGTATTGTAGAAGTATTAACACACTATACAATCAATAATAATTAGTTACAACCATTTGCAACCAGATAAATGTCTAAAATATAATCAGTGTTGTGGAGCCTGATAGCACAAATGAGCCTCCAAACCGCTTAGAGGCTCGGGGCTGGATGAATCTGTGGCTGAAGGTGCTCCTGAGCTGCCTCAGCTCAGCCTAGAGAGGGGTTGTCCATGATGGTTTTCAGCTACCCTCTCATCCTCCTCTCAGTTACTGCCTCCACACTGTCCAGTTCCGCCGAACTGGCCCTCCTTGCCAGCTTGCCCAGTTTGTTGGCGCCACAAGTCCCGATGCCACCTCCCCAGCACACCGCAGCAAAGATGACGACGCTGGCCACTACAGACTGAACATCTGTAGCAGCCTGGTGCACACACTGAAGGACCTGAGCCTCCTGAGGAAGAACAGCCTGCTCAGTCCTTTCCTGTAGAGGGCCTTGGTGTTGTCTGTCCAGTCCAGTTTATTGTTGAGTTGCACTGCCAGGATCTTGTAGGCGTCCACCATCTCTACTCCCTCACCCTTATTACAATCTCTTGCTGCGCCTTAAGCCCACTACCAGCTACTTGATTTTTCCTGTGTTGAGCTGGAAGTGGTTGCTGTCACACCATCCAGTGAAGCTCTCAATCAGGTCTCTGTACTCCTCTTCACTGTGATCTATGATGCAGCCGATGATGGAGGAGTCAGAACCTCTGGAGGTGCCTCGTTCCAGAGTCGACGCAAAAGTCAGAAGCGTAGAGTGAAAAACTGACAGTACAGTTCCTTTGGGTGAACCAGTGTTGCTCAACACAACGTCTGACAGGTAGCCTGACATACTGCGGCCAGTCAGTGAGGCCACCAGGTCCTGATCCACCTGCATCACGGAGAGGGCTGGGGAGTGGAGGGGAGAGACAGGAGCAGGGTGGGGTGGAGGGGCAGTGGAGTAGAGGGGCAGGGGAGTGGACCGCTCTGCTGTTGTTCTGTTGCAGCTTCCCCCGACCACTCCTGCACAGTCCTGGTGGTGACAGTCTCGTAACAGCAGGCTTATACATTGGGATTCAGCAGTACCAGACAGTGGTCAGATTTGCCAAGAGGGGTGGCGCTGTATGCCTCCTTAACACTGGCATACAGCAGATCCAGGGTCTTGTTTCCTCTGGTGTCCTTGAGATTGTGAGCAGTTCCATAACACATCCTTTTATTTAATTTATGCCTTTGTTGTACCAAAAACAAGCACTTCTTACTTACCGAGATGCCGAAGTAAACTGCCGTCTTCTTTCCAAACCGGGTTAGAAACCATTGCCAACACGGGATGCTTAGAGTCCCAGATAGCTGGAAACAATGTGGAACATTAAATATTATACAAGCTTGCAAAAGTGTGTGTGAATGTGTGTTACTTTTAATTCTGGTAGAAATCAAGAGTGGAAGTCTGCCCAGATAATGATCAGGGACCAAAATAAACTTTTAGTTTGAAATTTAGGTCTTGGCTACTACTGTGGTATATATATGGTCTTGGTATTTATTTGTTGTAGTAGTACAAAAGAAAATTGTCATAGATGACACAAAAATATACAAGTGTACAACACTCATCATTGTGAACTTTGTTTAAAGGGATTCTTTCTTGCCATGCATGCATTTTCCTTTTTAACTTACATTAAAATATAAATCCTATGTTCCCTTTGTCCCCTTGCAGGGGACATACATGCCATGACCTCTAGACTAGAGGGTGATACACATAGGTGACACAGTAGTGGATTTTCACTTCTGACCCGGAAGAATGACTTCCCATCCAGATTAAGAAAACAAAACAGATCAGAAGTTAGCATTTATTTATATTAGAATTGTATATTTATATATAAAAACTGCTGTTGGACTCTTATCCTGCAGGAATCCCGTCAGCCACAGGATTCCAGACAAAATGTCAGCCTCTACCCTTGGCCAAACTTGGTCAACCAGCGTTAAATGACCACATGAGAACAATCCTTCCACTGACAATTTAGGAGCCTGAGAAATAACATGATCATCAACTGTAGGCACATACGGTGGAAATAACTCCTTTCTCCCCCTCAACTCCCACCTCTCTAATTATGATACATGGTACCCAAAAATGTTTCCACTCCTAACCTGAGGGAAAGGCACCAGAGCAGAAAGCAGCTAGGAGGGCGAAAACCATGGTGGCAGTGAAGGATCGTCAAGGCAACAAAAGCTCCACTGTGTGTCTGTTTCTCCCTTGATTTCCTGCTTACGCCATGTGAGTGTGTGACTGGGAGACTGGTTCCCCAGAGCCCAAACAATACTTGTCACTCTGAAAACTGCCCTTTCAGCCCCCGGTACCTTGTATCTCCTGATGTGAGGAAAGGGCTCAGGGTACAGGCCGAAAACCCCCCCCAAACACCGGAGGCTTACTCTACACCACAAGGACAGCCACACAGGGGTTTTCTGCTGTAGATCACACTGATGTCCTTCAAATCTCATACTGATTTACAAAGAGGTGACAAGTCCTTCAGTGGACAACGGAAACACTCACCATGATGACCAAGAGAATGTTCTGGAAGTCTTTCCTATGGCCAAGAGCGTAGGTGATGAAAAGAGCAAAGTTTCCCTCCAGTAGCTGTAAAAGATGAGCAAAGAGACATTTCATATAACTACAGTTCCACATAAAAAGGAACAATTCAACATTTTGGAAATACACACAATATCTCATTCCCCCCCCCCCCCAATCTGTACAAAAGCAGAACTTTAAAAACAAGGAGTTGTTTTACCTTTGGACAGAGCTAGGCTAGCTGTTTCCCTTTGTCTCAGTCTTTATGTTTAGCTAAGCTAACCGTCTCTTTGCTGTAGCCTCATTTAGTGGACAGATATGACAGCGGTCTCAATCTTCTCGCTAGATGATACGTGATTCCCTAAAGTGTTGAATTAATCCTTAAACTGTAATCAAATTACCATAAAATAACTTATGCATCCAACATGAGGCAGATATTAAAACACAATATTACCATGAAGGCCAGAGAGGTGAAGAGGAAGCCGATGACCAGTTTGATGTACGGTCCGTGGCTCATCACCAGCCATAGGCCCTGACGGAAGGTGAGGACCTGGGATTTTCTTCGCCCGCTCTCTTTAATCCAACACACGGGGGAAGAGAACAAAAGGTAAGACAGCTGAACAACTTTCTGTTAAGTTATTTAATCCAGGAAAGCAGGACTGGAATGTGGCCACAAGACATTTTTGTTGGTCTGCACTAACAAATGCATCTTTCCCTCCCGGTTGGCTGCTTGATAGATTGACTCAGAGTCTATCTGTTGCCAGGAAAAAGTAAAAGTTGATTTGCAGCGGACGATTTTACAACGTAAATTTCTTTTCAAGCCAAAAGACTCCAAGTGAAGTCACGAGTCGTCGGTGTTAGTCCAAGTCTTTTTAATTTCTGCTTTAATTTCATCTCTGCTTTAAACATTATATATATTCCACAGTGGCTTTGGACAAACAAGAACGTCTCGTTATTTCATGTATTCATACCTTTTTGCTCCTTCACACCAAAAAACAAGATTGCGGCACAGAGGACATAGATGATGCAGATGACCCCGGAAGCAACCAAGTACGCTTGTTTCTGAGGGCAGAAGAGGCCACAATAGCTCATGTAAAAGCTGTATGAAATAGTTGGAAAAATCCTCACTGATCTGCCACAATGCAAAAGATTCGAGAGACTCACCGTCTCATCCAGTGCAACACTGGACATGTTGACTGTGGTTGAGTTATTGCTATCAGGCTCTGCGGGACAATTTGTGGTGCCACCAACTATCTGTCCCTGGATTGCGGTGCCCAGAACTGTGCCCAGCACCTCCACCATCATACCTGAGAGCAACACAGAAATGGAGCGTCAGCGCACAAACAACAACACGCGCATATAAACCATTTGATCCCACGGGAGCGCTGACGTACGATAAGCAGTGGCAGAGTCCCTCTCTTTCTGGTCATTGCTGATGAACATGGTGAAGGCTGAATATGGTACATGGAAGCACTGCAGACGTACACAAACACACAGTTAGGCTGGTGCAACATGGGCCACCAAGAGCAAAGTAGTGGGGAGTGTCGATGCGACATACTGACCGTCTGCATTGACTGGAAGAGGCAGTAAAAGATCAGGTACCAGAAGACCTTCCCCTGCTCAAAAGGAGGCACGTACCAGATCAGGAAGTAAGTCAGCACCGCAAACGGAGTAGAGAAAATTATCCTGGGAAGAAAGGTGAGGATTATTAAACAGTATGATTAAGGCAAATTTAAAAACAATTTTCAGTGTTTTCAATAAGCTATACATATTTTTTTTATTTTATTTATTTGAGTCACTAAGGTGGGGTTCACCTTCTTTTCTGGCTTGAAAAGAAGTGTGGCCAGCCGGCTGCTCAAGAGTGTGTTTACTGAATCCTGCCAACGATTACTGTAGCTTTTACCCCCCAAACACCCTTTTTATTTTTCCTCCCTTGTAGTCACTTATTTTCTACTCTCTCATGCCTTTTTGTGAATAATCCCCCTAATCCTGCCTTGTTAGAGCTCGTGTGGGGAGAAAGAGCTTAGTCTGGGACGTATAAGGAGACGAGGGTGGGCTGGCCCAGTGGTGAGGCCACTCTGGCCTACCTCACTCTCAGCCTTTTTCCACAGCTTTGAATGACCTCCAGCTGACCTCAGTCAGAGAAGCTGGTGCCACCTCAGGAACTTATTTTCAAAACAGACAACAGTCCAGATAATAAAATGGGTGGTTGAATAAAACAAGCCATTTGAAGAGGTCACCTTGGGCTAATGGAAAACTGTAGACCATTTTCTTACATTTTATAGACCAAAGTAACCGCAAAAATAGCTGAAAGATGATGAGGGCGGTATCATCGAACACCGAGAGATGTTTCTTGACTGAACAAGACAATTTTGCACCAACACGTGGTCGTATGAACCCTCCCCAACCCCCTTCTTGTGTGGCACATGTGGGAAATATGAAACAAAGCACCTCCTCGAGTCCCTCCAGTGTCTAAGTGAATTAGGTTAATGAGAGCCAAATTATCTGAAAATAGAGGCCAGGTTGTGACCGTTTCATACACTGGTATGGCTGATTGAACACGCAATGTACTGATTTGTAATGTGTCATGTTTGTCAGTAGGGCTACAGAAAATGACCTTGAGGTACACGCAATCGATGTACAAATTGCAGTGCAGACATTAAAAACTATTCATGCATTTCAAATAACACTAAAAACGTCATGTGCCGACAAGGCAAAAAGTCCCATTCTAGTCTCCTGTCTTTATGCAAAACATTCAGTGCAGATAGCAAGGACAAGTGAAGACACAAAAAGACAGATGAGTGCTCTTATCCAACTGCTGGTTACAATGACCACACACACACACACCCACCCACCCACACCCCACCTCCTATTTGTTTGAAGCTGATGGTGTGTTGTGGGTTGGACCAATCGCAGCAGAAGCTGGTAAATTCCCCTCCCCTCCCCTCTCCCTTCCCGCCCATGTGCAGCTCATGCTCAGCCGGCATTTCTGACTCAAATTCCCACAGACGCTCAGGATATCACTGCGACGTTGTATGAGAAAAAAGCGGCCGCAAATTATTTTCATCTGCTCCAGTGCAAATCATATTGTGGCCTTAGGCGATACTTTTCTGAACCAGATGTTCTTCTAGCAGACACATTTCAAGAAAGACTTGTAAACCTGGATGTATTTCATTAAAAGTTTAGAAGCTCTTCCAGCTGTTCTATTAACTTTACACAATGCCAGTTCACTTCAAAAAGTGAACCGCATGTGTCTTAACTAAACTGTATCTAGAAAAAATTTAAGAGTAAAATTTAGTAGTTCCTGTTGCCATAGTTAGTGCTACGAGTCATGGGCTTGCTTTTGTCAGTGCATTATCCTCACATTTCTCACCCCACCCAATATCCTTCCTACTGATTTTCAGTGTTAATACCCTATTTGCTTGGTGAACCTGTCGTAAGATGGTGTGCTGCTGTGAGATTCAGACACCTACCAGGGCATCATGCGGCCAATGCTGGTCCATCTACTCCGGCTCACTAGGAAACCCACTATCGGGTCTGTGACTGCGTCCCAGGCCCGGCCCACAAACAGGATGATAGAGGCATGGGAGGGGTCCAGCTGAGGGGAGGAAAGTGGAAGAAGGGTGAGGCGTGAAATCAAAAATAAAGGATGACGCCAAATACCACCTCATATGGTGCTGCTAGTGAATGATTCAGAAGAGCCACGACACCAATGAGGTATGGAGACATTTTGAGGCTCTGTAACTGTTCCGAGTGAAATAAACAACTGTTATTTGTTTAAAGAACAAAGTAGCATTCAAAGCCACTGTAATGAGCTCATCTCTCGAGTTGACTGCCCTTTACATAAGTTCCTACTGTGTACAGTGGAAAAGTCTACTTTGCTAATTGACTAACAAAACAAAGCAGTAGGAGACCAGGTTAATGCGCTTGACTGGCTACCGCAGGATGGAGACTGTTAAAGTGAGAGGAGCAAACAAGCTTTTTGCCTTCAAGCTAATCAGTATGTGTAACTGTGGAGGAAATGCGACGATAAGGAAATGAGCTTCCAACTTGTATTCTGCAGAATTAACAAATGGGTGCACTTTGTTTTGAAGAACAGTAAATATAAAAAGGTAAAAAGTAATACTTAAACTACAACTTCTCCCAGTTATACAAAATGTCTTTTTATTAATAAGTCAAATATGCAAGGAAACGTGTTTTCTAGCTCTTCACAAGTAATACCCCTAAGTGTAATCTTAACTCATTCTTGTGTGTCTCTTGTCAATCACCTGAGCCACATCCAGCAGGTAGATCTGGAGGAAGAATGCCAGAGCACTGCCTGTGATCTGGTATGGAGCCCCACCGATGGCATAACACAGTTTGCTCCATACAGACAGACGAATACTCAGGTGCTTCGGCTGGAACACAAGGAGAGGGGAGGACAGAGGAGATATGTAATGAAGTTAGTTTGTGCATTGGACTGTAAATGCTGCTCTTATTCCCAGAGAAGCTATAAATTTAAGTTACGTTATGTGATGTAGGCAGTGGTGCGCTGCATGGTCATTATCTACAGCTCTATATAATCCCTGTTTTCTTCTTCAACCACCTTTTTCCATCCCTCTGTCCAAAACTATTGTCAAAATTGCTGCTGTTAAACAACTTGTTACCACGAGGTCCAACTTTCCTCACCCCACTGCTCAGAATGTCAGATTAGAAACAAATCCCCAGTGATGATGTGGTGTGTGAAACTGTGAGGTTACTCTAGTTCATGCTCACTCTCACTACATCATAAAGACTCCAGTGCTGCCATTGGCTCCAGAAATAGGATGTTGGTAGTAGTGTGATATTTAATGCTGAGTAGAGAGTCTTATCACAGCTTGCAGACACAGCCAATCGCAAGTCTGATGATGATGTCAGCAAAGGGGGTTCTCTAGTCTACACCACGATTCACATCCGCTATAGACACAAGAGCAGCATCACCTCATGCTGCCTCCGCACAAAGCAGAAACGAATGAATCCCCCCCCCTAGCCAAATCCTTCAGCAGTTTCATGACTAATGAGGAAAATCCCATAAAGTGTAAAATCCAGGAGTGGGCAGATAACCTCAGTGTTTAGAAAATTTCTAACATCAGTGAAAACTGACCATTAGAATTTCCCAGGCTTAAGTGTGAATGTTTAAATGATGTGTTCATTGTCAAAATAGTTGCCTATTGCTTTTCTGTCAACTAATCGCTTCACCTCTACAAAAGGTAGGTTACATTTCATTTCAATCCCTTTCTCTAACAATTTTGTAACGGTGAAATGTCCTGTGATCAGATACTGCTAATGACAGCGAGATCCCAGAGCAGACGTGGAAGGTATTTCAGGGTGTAGACAGATCAAATGCAATGCGGTCACACTTTTCCATGAAGAAAAACAAACAAACACTCGGGATCTATCAGGAGGCTTTTTGTCATTATTTAATTTTAGGCTCTCAAAACATGACTCGCGCATCATGCATTTCTGGAGCAGAAACGTTATAGTACCACGTCACGTTTCTGTAGCCCACCTGTCATTGCTGAAGGCTGCTGCATTTGACAAGATTGTCCAATTTAAAAATCACATTTTCAGGCCTGTTTAATGAAGATGTGGTCCCTTTAAAAGCCGGCATGCGAGCCTCTCGAGCAGCTGCCCGAGGACAGATGGATAAACGTAGTGAAATTGAAATGCCGGGGACTCTACGTCAGGGAAGCGTTTGAAATACTGAAAGGAAGTAACACTAACCACAATAAATCAAACGTTACATTCAATTTAGGCGCCTTTCTGCGCTCCTGAACAAACAGGGGCAACACAGAACTTAATTTTAATAACCCCGGAGAAAAAACCTCTTACCTTTGCTGTCTTGATCTCTGTATTAATAGCTTTGGCTGATAACAAACTCGCCGCGTACTGCTCGGCGCCTTCTCCTCGTGCCATTGTGCTTTCAAGACGATGAAGTAGCCTAATTAAAAATATATAGCCTATATATTACTCTCAATATCGTAAAACGTTCAGCGTCAGAAGAAAACGCCTTTTCACAGCATCAAGGTGCCTCTCTCAGCGCCCTCACTGTTTCTGAGCCCACCCTCGTGCGATGCTCCCCCTGCTTCATTCATTTAACGCCGCACACGTCATTACGGGTTATGACGTGACGATCACGTGCTCGGTACCGTCCAGCCTTTTCTTTTCTGTTGGATCACACCATAGCATCATCATGTTTTTGTAAGTGACAAGTGCGTAAGAGAAAAACATACAGTATTGTCAGAATGCAAAAACCACACGGGTAGACTACAAGGTAAATTTATTCATCATACAACCTGCAACAGGGGTGTAAAATGTGATGCAGTTTGTAGTTCCGTTTATGCTACAGGCACAGGATGTGTGCAAAAAAAAAAAGAAGATCAAACAGCTTACAGGAAAAAAAACTGTTTTGGTGCTGTGCTGACTCTGAGGATGAATTTGAATTTGAATTTGAATTTAAAAGTCTCTTAGCCTGGGGGGAAAGCTGCTCTGCAGTCTGGTGGTGTGACAGCAGATTCAGTATCTTTTTCCAGACAGCAGCAGGGTGAACAGACTGTGGCTGGGGTGGGTACTGTCCTTTAGGCTATCCCAGGCACCTCACCTCACATATATCACTAATGTTAAGGAGATGGGTTCCAATGATCTTCTTAGCAGTTTAAGTCACTCATTGTAGAGCCCTCTGGTCCTGGGGTAGAAACAATTTCTCCATTCTTAATATGAATCACCTAAATCATGCTGTACATGCTCAGTTTAGTCCTTACTCCATATGGGAAAAAGCAGCACTATATTAGCACAGTTATAGTTATAAATTACTTTATTTCTTTGTGTTATAGCATTGCCTGCTTTATAGTTAAACACATTAAATTTAAATCATGTTTATTGTGTGTCTATGTAGATATCCTTCATGCAAGTTGTTAGTGATGATGTTTTACCTGTAAGGTAAGCTATATTTCATGGCCATAAGAGTTTGGTTTAGTTGTAACAAGAATGAATATTTTACAACCCACACCAAGAAAATGCTTTGCTCTGTTTTCTTAGAATTTCAGTATGTGTCTGACACACACAGTAAAGTTTAACGGTTTTATTATTATGTTCAAATGTTAGTGTAAGACCTGTCGGCTGCTCTGTTGACCCATGAGGCCTGCAGTCCAGGAGTGTCACCACTGTGACTGTGCAAGACAAACAAGAACAAACTCACACTAATATTCAGTTGGTGCATAATTGCACATTTTGTTAAATTTTATTATTATGTTCAATACTGTGTCAGTAATGTGTCTCACAGAAAGATACTTGGATCACCCCACGCAGACACATCATTTAGCCTATGTTTAAAAATAATTTAAGTGTTGAATAAAAAGCTTTCAATATCACATTTTTCTCATATTCCTTATTACTGTTACATTTCACCCAGGATATGTCACCTTTAGAGTACTTTTAGGGAACGTAATGCATGGCTGCGGGAACACGCTATGATAGTAGTAATATCACAAACTACTAACTAGCTTCTCCACAACGTAATGAGCCTGTTGTGGTCCTCTCACCCAAATTTACCCGACCTTATCATTCTCTCAGTGTCCCAACTAAAGAACACAGAAAGGATAATTAACAACGTAAGAGAAGGTTCAGTCTTTTGTACACTCTCTCTCTCTGTGCATCTCAAAAAAGATTTTTTGCTGAATCAATTCATAGTTTTCATGCGACGTCACAATGAAAACGCTCCCTTGGAGGGCAAAAAAACGTTCATTTCCGTTGCCTGCCAACCAATATGCAAGTGATACACTGTTACTTTGAGTTTGTTACTTTTTGCGTTGCCAAAATGCTGGATGGTTGTTGTGCTTTTGGATTTACTAATCGAGGAGACAAGCTTGAACTGTTTAAGGTGAGGGATTCCCCAGAAGGTAAAAGTAAACATTACCGCAGGCGAGTGGCGGCAGGGACCTGGCGTTTTTTAATGGTAGAAATGCAGCAGCGGATGCTGTAACGTTATATGGATCAGATATGCCCAACACTTGTGTTTGGGTTCATCTCTTTCTTTTTCTTAAGTTGAAAGGTGATCCAAATAAATTTGACTGCTTTTGCGGCGTCTCTACGGGGAGTCGCGATGTGAGCCGTTGTGTTGGTCCGTTGTTTTGCCCTCCAGGTCACCGTGCATGTCATGTGACTGAAAACTATGAATAACAGCTGGCAGCTGCTGAGTGAAAGCCAATATTAGTTACACCTGCGACAATCTGTTTAATGGACTCTGTAAAAACAAATAGCAACCATGTGAATTAGAAAAAAGCAACAGGCTAATTTCCATCAAAAGAAAGTGATGCTCTGCATCAGGATTCTGTTAAAGGAGACCTATTATACAGCCTTTCCAGCCCTATATTGTAGTTCTATGATTCCTCTATGGCAGCTTTGCATGCAAGAATTTTCTCTCTTCATACAGCCCTTTTCAGCCTCTGTCTGAAACAAGCTGTAGATGCTCCTGTCTCTTTAAGCCCCCCCCCCTCTCAAAGCCCACTGTCTTCTGATTAGCCATTGTCTTATGTGTTTAGCAGGTTGCCACAGGGATGGGGCTGCATGTTCATTTGTGGGCGTGGTCAGCAGTCTCTGCCTGGAGCAAATGACCATATATGGAAATCCATCTCTGAATAACGTCATACCCAGCAGTTAGTAGAAAAAACTATTTAAAACAGAGCGTTTAGAATAGGGGGATATCTGAGGTTTTGGTTCACAGGGATTTCTTTTAAACAAAACATAGATTTTGAAATGTGTATAATGGCTCCTACACGCATGGCAGTGAGTATTTTTATTTTTAATACACATACATTTTCTTGATTATGCTTACTTTTATTTTCAATATATGACTCACTTGTAACAGAATTTTTACAGTGTGGTAGTAGGTATTTTTACCTAAAGGATCTAAATACTTCGGCAACCTGTTTCTAATGAATGTAATTGTTTAATACGTAAATAGGAAAGTTTGCCTACTGTATATTTAAATTCTGTTTGTCTTGTCAGCAACCCCCTAACAAACATAACCGTACTTAATGTATTTTTAAAAGCAGGTACTTCCCACACGCATTCCCACTGCTCAGTAAAGTCTAGCTGAATTTAAAATGAGTCACACAATCAAGTTCAAACCATTATGTGATAACATTGAATTTTTGTTATATTTTGTTATATTCACTTAGCTGGCTATCTCAGAAAAACAAATACTGAAAAAAAGGATAGTTTATGAATTCAAATGTCACGGTTAACCTGCGACTTCATATATGTTTTCTGTGTTTCCCATTTGCCATTGAGAACATCACAGGCTACAATAGCAGGAGCACCCCCATAATGTATGAGGCCACATTACCAGATGAACTTAACACCTTTTATGCTCGCTTTGATCTCCTCAACAAGGAGTCACCTGTAAAGTCTACTCCACCTCCAGAGGACCGGCCACTGCCAGTATCCAAAGCAGATGTGAGGAGAGTCCTGCTGAGAGTGAATATGAGTAAATCAGCTGGGCCTGATAACATTCCTGGTCGTGTACTAAAAACCTGTGCCAATCAGCTAGTTGATGTTATTACTGATATTTTCAACATCTCACTGTCTCAGGAGAGGTTTCTTCCCTGCTTCAAGAAAGCCACCATCATTTCTGTTTCTAAAAAGTCTGCAGTGTCTAGTCTGAACGACTACTACCCTGTGGTTTGCACCCCCATTCTGATGTGTCTTGAGAAACTGGTTCTTGAGCACATAAAGAACAACATCCCACCTAGCCTGGACCCTCACCAGTTTGCTTTCAGAATCAACAGATCCACAGAGGATGCCATCTCCACTGACCTCCACTCAGCCCCCACACACCTTGAGAAAAACCCCCCACCTACATCAGAATGCTGTTTGTGGATTTCAGCTCAGGATTCAACACAATCAATCGATGCGCAACTAATGTTAATGATTTTCACCCACACACTGCAGCACGGTAGCTCTTAGCTAGTGTCCTCTAGCTAGCCCATTCTATGCGACATAATAATGCTGTAATAATGAAATAATGCTATGCAATGTTAGCTACATTTATTTGAAGTAAATATTTAAAATTACCAAATAGTCAAACAGTGAGAAAAATACATCTATATCCTATTCGTTTTACAGTCGCATCGTAGCACTCATAATCGTAATGAGGTGCCTAGAAATGATGATGTGATGCATGGAGATATCGAATCGAATTTTGAGGCCAGTGAAGATGCACACCCCTACTGGATATTGGACTTCCTCACAAACAGACCCCAGTTAGTTCGGATTGGCGGACACACCTCCTCCACTCCAGTGCTCAACACCGGAGCCCACCAGGGCTGTGTGCTCAGCCTCCTCCTATTCACGCTGTACACCCACGACTGTATCCCCCGACATGGAGAGAACTCTGTTGTTAAGTTTGCGGACGACACTACCATCATTGGCCAGATTTCAAACAATGATGAGACTTCATATCGGGAGGAAATTGATAATCTTGCAGAGTGGTGTACAGCAAACAACATACTGCTCAATGTCAGCAAAACCAAGGAGCTGATCGTTGATTTTAGGAATAAGGAGCTAAAGACAAACACTCCTGTCTATATCAGTGGATAGAAACCATCCTGACTGGAAACATCACAAACTGGCATGGGATGTGCACAGCCCAGGACCGGAGTGCTCTACAGTGGGTGATTAAAACCGCTCAGAAGATCATTGGTACCCATCTCCCGAGCATCAGTGATATCGGTGAGGTGCATACACAGAGCCCAAAGGATACTAAAGGACAGTACCCACCCAGCCACAGCCTGTTCACCCTGTTGCCTTCTGGGAAGAGATATAGAAGTTTCTGCTGCCGCACCACCAGAGCTATCAGACTCTTAAACTCAAATTCATCCTCAGCATTGAACATTGACTATTGTTTATTTATTGCAGTGAACTGACAGTGTGGATTTGTGCATTTTATATTAAATAATTTGGAGACTCAACTCCTCTTTTCCCTCCCAGAGAGAAGGAGGAGGGGGTTGAGTTCAACAGACGGCTGAAGAGACCCAACGGAAAAGATGACAGGTTTCTCTCCCTAAGTGCTGTCTCTGGGCAGTTGATCGTAAAACTGGCCACCTTTGGCAACAGCCGAGATAAGTCTCTCGGTGCCTGAATTGTTAAAATGACAAAGAAACTAACCAGAAATTACAAACAGCCTATCAGAACTCTTCTTAAAAGACACACACGTGTAACCGTGGCAACTGACCTTGCCCTGTGTTTCATTACCTCATCAAAGAGAGACTAGATGAGGAACTCCAGGACACCAGAGACACAGACCTGAACTCCCTTATGCAAACAAAGATTGATGTGCAAACATGATAAGCCAGGATATGCGAAAGGGGGACACGACTCCTGCCTTCTTGAGCTAAAACAATGTTTCATTATAAACTGTTCTCTTCAAATAATAATCCTTGCTAAGTTAGTAGTGGCGCTGCCTATTTGATTAGTTATGTTACCATGTTGTTGCTATCTGTTGTTGATATTATTGCTGAAAAGAATCTAAATAAGTTACTTTTGCAATGTTTTAATTTTCAGCAAGGTTAATGACACTTCCTTCATTTTATGTGTAACCAATGCTTGTTCACAATACTTTCTCACACAATTCCTTTAGAAATGATGATAAAGAAATGTCATCCTATACTCTATTTATTGCCAGCTTGAATTTAAGGCAAAATAACTAAATTTCCCAGTTCCTAAGTAAAGATTGTTTTCGGATTAATCTAAACTGTCGTCATGTAACCTGAGCTCCCCCAAGTGGACGAAATAAGTATTACATGCCATCATTCTGAAATGCTAACCGTTTAAGGTCTAATTACTAAGT